GGTGTATCCTCTTCCTAACTGTCGATAGCCCTCACTTGCCCAAGGAGCTCTACCTGTGTAGAATTGACTATTCCCAGTCAGACCTGGAGAGTCAGGCCAGGGATATTTGAAAGTATAGCATAACACCAAAGATTATTTCACGCTGTTTACTGTTTGAACTCTGAATTAACTTCAAGTCCTTTCATGCAGTCGAGCAATTATTTAACCGATAATCAACATTTAACAGTGAATATTAAAATTAGCTCCCTTGAAGGAGACACAGTGTTCTTGCTTCCAGCACTAACGAGCCTTGTGCGTTCAGCACTTTTTCCCCCCTTGTTATCATGTGACAGGCTATTTTTAATATTTGCCTGAATATATTTTGCATCTTCCTTTGATCCAGAGAGCTTGTGAGGCTTGTCTGCAGACCGAGCCTCCCTTGCTGTGGCAGCGCAGGGCAAAGCTTTCCCATCTGGGCACGGGCTGGTGGGGCTGGCAGGAGCAGAGCCGCACTGAGCCGGCTGCACAGGGCAGGGATACGTGCCTGGAGCACATGGTCCTGCAGGCACCAGGAGCCTCACGTGAGGCTCAATGTGAAGAGCAGCCGCCGGTCCCAGCCCCACGCTGCTTTAGCTGCTCACTCCCAAAGGCACGTGCGGGACCAGAGGTCAGGAAATTCCCGGCTCCTCCCGGTGCCGCAGGTAGAAGAGCCTTTCGCCTCTCAGAGAGGGGGGCTCCTGCAGCACCTTCCTGCTTGTAAACAGTGATTAAGGCTTAGGCGAGGATTCCGCACGCCAGCTGGGAATGCTGCCCTTCGCACTGCAAAGCTGCGCTGGAGGAGGAGGAGGTCACGTTAAGAAACACAGGGGAAGGGAGGCTGCAATACAGGGAGTGTTGCACACACACCCTTTTTGGGCTGCCCCTGCACCAAGTCATCTCCAGCATCCAGCCAGGAGGCTGGATGGAGCAAGAACAAACCTCTCCCAGTTGGCTGCTGCGCCTGTCACAAACAAGAGCTCCAAGAAAACGCCAAAAAACCCACCCAGCCCCGCCTGGTGTCAGTCACTGCAGCTCAGTGGCTGTGTAAGAAGCAAGAGGTAATGGATACTTACACTCTACATGGAATATCTCAGCTGAATAAATAAACCACGACATTTAATAAAAATCTTTGTGTTCTTAGAGGGGGGTGGGAGGTGTAAGTGCACCTCACATGCAAACAATTCTCAGCTTTTTGATTAACAAGTCCCAAAATCTTTTTTTTTTCTTTAACTGAAAGTGAAGCCTCGCAGATATTGCACACAGTTATATTTCTGCAGCGGATTACAAAGCTTGTTTTTTCCTTTTTTCTTTCCTTAAATAATCTTTGGCAAGTAGGCAAAGGCACCCAGCCATCCAGGGAACAGAGACTGAAAACCACCATCACAGAACACAAAGCAGGAGGGAGCTCCCTCAGAACCTCTGACAGCCCCGTCCTCCTCAGGGAGCAGGGCAGAAACAACACCTGGTTATCCCCGAGACACAGCCCCACATCCAAGGCTTTGGTGGCAAACAGAAACCTCAGATCTAAACCACAAAATCCCAAAAACCTAATTAGAGTCCTTCACCAGACTTAGCCTGATGCCTCTGAACTCTAATTCACACTGTTCAAACCCCTTACAGTACCTGCCCCAATCACCCCCAGCAGGGAAAAGAGCCAAAAAAAAAAAGCAACAACCACGTAGTTACCTGCAAAATATGTACCTTCCTTTACACACAAACCACTAAAAATTACTCCAAATTTCCTTAAGGACTCTGCAGTTAAACAGAAATTTACGTTCCACCAAAAAAACACGGCAAAAGACAACACAAGGTGTGCAAGAGATGAAGAACCACAAAAATGTGTTTGCAGTATGGGTTACTTTAAAAGCTTCATAAAATCTGAAAACCAACCTACCAGCATCCAATACCAAGAAAAAAAAAGAAGTTTTAAATGCATCTACACATGACGACGACTGTTGGTCTGGAATGCTAAAATAAATCAAAACACTATTTTTCATTAACAAAATCAGTGCTGTGAAAAATACATGGTTCCAGCCTTGCAACAGTCACTGCCCTGTGTCCCTCCTCATCAAAAAACCCCCAGCATTTGCTATATGTAAATTCCCTGAACAGAAATATATGGTAAGTAGGTGCTTCCTTAATTCTTTGGAGATGATAAACTGGTGAGCCTAAACATTTTTCCAGTGACCAGACAGTGTGAGCTATAAATACAGAATTAAGTTACATTTATACAAAACCATTTTGTAGTTAGGTTTTTTTAGGGGGAGGGGGGAAAAAAAAAAAAAAATCAGTGAAGGTTTTGATAATGTCACGTCTACAGCCAGGTCTGCTGAGCCTGATGACATTCCTCACTCTACGCCAGTGCAGATTTCCTGATTTCCAGAGATGGTATAAAACAAGTTTAGGCAATGCCACTCACTCCTACAGACAGATAAGGCTTGTGTTTCAACGCATGCACAAAATCAAATCTCCTTATGCTGCTCTTCCACAGAGCATCCATGTCCCAGATACCCCAGGGAACATCCCTGAGTCACACTCGGGGTTCCACGTGCAGGTGAACTCCCACCCCCGGACACGGCACAGCCGGGCTGGGAATTCTGACCACCTGCATGTGATGCCCTGATGCCAAAAACCACAGAGCTGTTTAAAACAGGGACACGAGAACCACAGGGTTTGACCCTTCCTTCAGCTCCACACGCTCTAACAGGCTTCCATTGCCAGGCAAAAGTCAGAAGACACTGACACCAGTGAAATATTTTTAGGATAATTACTATCACCTAAAAAATCCAGTTTTCCTAAAAGTAGGAAGATCAATAAAAATTCATTTCGTGTGAAATTGTATACTCTATACTATTTTTGCCTGGGTTTATTACAACAATACAAATCACAGCACCCATGCATACTGGAATGGTAGCTCACAGCAATTAAAAATTCTTCATGTGGTAGTTAAAAAAAAAATCTGTTTTAAAAGTCTTAACATCTATTAACCAACAGGCTCCATTGTAATGATTTTAACATTCACCTCCATATTTCAAAACAGCACATTTGCCTTGGCACTTTTATGACAACCCTAAATGCTCATTTTTACTCAATTTTTTTTTAAATATATGTTATATTCTCAAACTTGCTCAGATGCTAAACTGTAAGATCTTCTCTTCAAAGCTGATTGTCAAAGTAATATTTTCACATGACAGCACATAAAAATTTCAACGACCTGATGATAAACCAGACTAGTGTTAATTAAGTCACAGTTCCTATCTGTAATGGGGGGCAAGAAAATATTATTTAAGGAGTGAAATGAGCTCCCTTTTATAAAAACCAGATTCAACAAAACGTTCTATTCTTGTAAAGGAAAAATGGTGTGGGGAAAAATAACTGCAAATTTAGATGTTTTATCCTACCCCAAGAGACATGACGTCCTTTACAACAGTAAAAAAGTGCACAGTTAGGTAAGTTCGTAACCCTGAGCTGCAAATGGCTCAGGAAAAAAGTCCAAAAAAAATCAATGAGTTAAAAAGTCACACAGACAGCTGATTACAAATACATTCTGACAGGTGATCGTTAACAGCCTGGCTCATAACCAGGCTCCTCTGAAAAAAACCAGAATGAGGACAGATTATCTGCTTTTAATTTTGTGAGTGCATATGCGACACAAAACGGTGGGGCATATAGGCACTATTTTTAAAGCTGGCTCAAAAAAAGCAAAGGGTTTTATATCCTGCTCTTGCCAACTCCAAATATATTTTAACTTTGGAAACCCTCAGAAGTTATTAGTTAACCATGAAAAGCCTTGAAACTGAAATGCAAAGCAAAGTCAAATCCACAGAAAGTAAAAGTAAATGAAATCCATGACCAAACACACACTTCTGATGGGGGGGGCCAAGGAGTCTGTTGACAGGTTTGAGAGGTTTTGGGGGGTGTTTAATTTCTTTTTAACGGGACAGGAATGTTACAGCCTTGCAAGACTTTTCTATTTCATCCTGCTCCACAACTTTTGTCCTTCTATTTGTTTATTTTGCCTCTTTATCAGATGATTCTGACAATGACTTCACACGCTGAGCATGGCAAAGGATCAAGCAGAAGTAGAGGAGTGGTTTCCTGCTGCCAGGAGCACACTTTGCTCTAGCACACCTCGTGTGAGCAGAAGAGCACAATAAATAAGCCACTCTCGGCGGTATTTTTTATTTTTCTTTAAAGAAAAAAGGCAAAGCTTCATGTTTTCCAAACTTCAATGTTGACACTATTCCACTGGCCATGATCTCAGCCATGCTGGTGTCAAGCCAGAGCAGTTATTCTGGATTCATACTAGTGTCTCTAAAGGGATGATCTCAAGTGCTAATAAACTAATAGAAGACTTCCACTGACATCAAATGGGTTGGAATTGTGCATTACAACCAGACCTTGGAGTCCATGATGTTTTCTTAGGCTTAAGGTGACTACAGATGCAAGTCATGAACTCAGGTCAGAGCTGCACTCTGTTTATGCCAATTTAAGCAAGATTATTATGTAGTTCCAAAATTCAGTTCCTGTGGCAAATTTTACTTTGCTCAATAGAGAGTAAGATTATGGCCAAAATTTCAAATAGGAAGCATTGAGCTTTAACTCCAAAATAACTCCCCACTCCTGTGTTCTCACATCCAATACTGGCTGAAGGCATGTTCTCTTCACAGTCCTTCACCCTGCTCATTTAACACTATGGCATCTGTGCCATTCTGTGCTCTTTTTACATGCTAACAGCAAGGCTACCAACAAAGGAAAGAAGTTTCCTTGGAATTCCCACAGCTTCCTTAGATAATTTAAACAAAAAACCTGGTGGAGCAACTTAGCGATAGCTAGAACTATTATTTTTATTTTCTGGAGTGAGTGACTCGAATCCTGTGTGCTCTAAGCTGCCTGTCAAGTGCACAGGGAGAAGTACTGATTTACACTGGGGAGGAGGGCTCCTGCCAAATTCCACAGGGGAGTTCTTAGGGCTGATTTACCTGGTCTGACCGGGCTCTGCATGCAGTTCTGCGACACCATGCCTGGATGGACTGAAGTAGAAGCCCTGCTGCTGAGGTCCATGACAGAAGGTGATGCTGAGGTAGCTTGCTGGAGACCTGACTGGTGTGGGCTAGGCTCATGCTGGTTTGGGCTGGGTGGAATGCCATTTTCTGAGAGGAATTCTTCCAGGTCCATGTATTCCAACTGGAAAGTGTCTCCATCGTATGGCAGTGTCTTGTCCCATAATGTTGGGCCCAAGAAAGCTGACTGAGGGACTGTGGTACCGGTGCTGTCATCATCTAACTTCTTCTCTTTGTCTTTTTCTTTACCGAATGCTTCAACAAAAAAAACATAATAAAAACGTAAGAACTTCGTAATTAAAATATTAGCTACTACATTTCCATCCTTTCTGCTGCACTCACACGTGGTAAGAAAGGAATACTCCCTTCAATAAAACTGATTCACTCTACCTGATAGAGAATTGAGCCAACTGAGCACCTTTGCTGGATCCAACCATGTTTTATGAGATTTCCCTCTATTTTTAGTTAACAATTCTACTGCATGCATGGCTTTGAATGTCAGCTTCAATAAGTACTCAACAGACTTAAAAGTGAGTATAAATACTCCTGCAAACTGGAAGCTGTTGGTGTATTCCGTTGAAAAGGAACAGTCTTAACCTAAAATACCCAGATTTTGTTATCCTGACATATTTCTAAATTAAGGTCCCAGTCTTGTTGGTCCTTTCACAAGGAAAGTAGCCCTGAAATTCAGCACTTCCTAACGTTATCAACACACAGTGGCAAAGGCTTGACAGAACACGATTATGATGTGCACAAGAGACAACGAGAAACTCAAAGGTAGAAGCAAAGAAAAAGTTAAACCGATGCTTCCCTATTTTACAACAGCCAGCGATTCCTATACACATTTTGGAAGCGAAACGCCTGATTTCTCTACGAGATTTGCAAGAAATCCGAACTGATAAAGCTTCCTGTCAAACCACCGAGCCCTAGCGGCGTTTTATTTTTAACCTCACGCAACAGCCCCGGTGAAACCCTGGGAATGGGACTCGGGAAGCCGCGGATACAGGAAGAAGCCTTGTGGCTCTGCAAGACCTTCCCTGGGGTTTCTGTTTTTGATCCATGGGAATACGCGGCGCGGTTGTGCCTCCGCTCTCCGCAGAACCCGCAACTTTCTCCCGTTAAGCCCGGGGGGACACGCGGGGCCGGCAGGGGTTTGCTGGGGGGTCCGGGATGGAGCGGGGGGGTCCCAACACCCAACACCGCCCCAGGAGGCACCGAGTGCCCTCCGCGCTCACCCCGCCGAGCGCGTCCCGTTAGGTCGGGCCCCGCAGAGCGAACCGTCCCGGGGCTTAATGCCCGGGGGGGAGAGGGTGGGAAAAAGGGAAAGGAAGGGAAAACGACGCCGCGGCCCCCGAGAGGTCCCAAGAAGGGGGGAGTCCGAGGGAGCGATCGCTGCCCCCGGGGAGAAGCCTCACCGTCTTCGTGAGCGAGCGGCAGCTTGAGCGGGTTTTCCAGCAGCGACTTCAGCACGCCGTAGGTGGGCGGCAGGAACGGGGGGTTCAGCGGGAGCGGCCGCGACATGGTCGGTGTGAGGCGGGAGGAGGAGGAGGAGGGGTGAGGGGGTGGGGGGGGGTGCAGCTGCGCGGCGAGCGGTTCCTTCCCTTCCTTCCCCCCTTCCTGCGCCGCGGAGAGCCGGGCGCGGGGCCGGTGGCGATGGGGGGCGCTGAGGGGGCCGCGGGACAGGGCTGCGGGCACCGGGCTGCGGGGACCGGGCTGCGGGTCGGGCCCCTCCGTCGCGCAGCAGCAGCAGCAGCTCCGCCGCCGCCGCTCCCGCCGCCCGCTCTGCGCCCGCCCGCCCCGCGCGCACGTGCAGCCGCCGCTGCCGCTGACGTCACGCCCGGTAACGGCCCCGCCATTGGCGCGCCGGGCGCGCCCCGCCCACCCCGGGGAGGGCCACGCCCCCTCCCACCCCGTGAGGCCCCGCCCCGGCACGCGCCGGGCCGGCACCGTGAGGGGCGTGAGGGGGGGGGAACACACAATCCCCGAGCTGACCCCCTCCCCTCAGCGGCTCCCCTGCCCGTGTCTCCCCGGTAACCGGGAGGAATGCGTTAATGATATGTTAATGATGCGCTAATGAGATGTTAATGAGATGTTAACGAGCCCTGAACGTTTGACCCCCGCACGCGGTGCAGCCGAGCGTGAGGGGGAGCGGGACCCCGCTGGGTCGGGGCGGGCGGCGGGCGCGGGGCTCCCACCGGTGTCGGAGGGAACCGGCCGTCGGGACTGCGGGGGTTGGTTGGAGCCGCGCGGAGCCCCCGCAGCTCCCAGTGCCTCCCAGCACCTCCCAGTGCTCCCAGTGCTTCTCTCCCAGGTACCCGGTACCCAGGGTGACAGCGCTGTCACCACCGCGAGCAGGGTTGGCTCCCGTAATCTCGCAGAACCCTTCGGGTGGGAAGGGATCTCTGGAGATCATCCAGTCCAACCCCCTACCAGGGCAGGGTCACCTGGAGCAGGTGACATAGGAACGAATCCAGGCAGGTTTGGAATGCCTCCAGAGTAGGAGACTCCACACCCTCCCTGTAGCTGTTCTAGGACTATGACACCCTCCATGGAAAGAAGTTTGTCTTCATGCCGAGGTGGAACTTCTTGTATTTTGGTTTATGCTCCTTGTTCTTTTGCTGGGCACCACTGGAAAGAGTCTGGCACCATCCTCTGACACCCGCCTTGGAGATATTTATATGCATTAATAAGATCTTCTCCAGATTAACCAGGTCCAGCTCCACAGTCTCTCCTCACAAAAGAGATTCTCCAGACCACTCATCATCATTGTGCCCTCCACAGGACCCTCTCCAGTAGCTCCTCATCTTTCATGTACTGAGGAGCCCAGAACTGGACCCAGCACTCCACATGTGGCCTCATCAGGGCCGAGCAGAGCAGGAGCATCACCTCCCTTGCCCTGCTGGCCACACTCTTCCTGATGCACCCCGATGGTCAACTTGTCACCCACTGAAACTCCCAGGTCCCACTTTGCCTCAGAAGGGACTTTCCTCCCCTTGCCGAGATCCTCGTTGCAAGCACAGTTGACTTTCCATCTGCTCAGGCCTTCAGCCACCTGCCCGTGCAGGCTGCACAAGAACCATACTCATGCCAGAGTAACATCACCCTTCAGGTGCCTCTGGGCATCTGCATCTCACGTCTTCTCACCTGTCTTTTTTTGGATGGCATTTTTCAAAGCTTTACCATCTGTATTTAATTGTCACTGTTTCTTCAAAAGACAGTTCTTTTACCATGAACAAATATAAATAATCATAAATATTCACTATAAGCAAATAAAGGTAAATTATGTACATTAACTGCCCAGTATTTAGAAATAAAAGCTGCCTGAGGAACAGAGAGCTGCCCTGAGTGTGAGTTGTGTTCCCACCTGAGGCTATTATGTGTGTGACCAGTGACAGGACCCGAGGGAAACGGCTGGAGCTGTGTTAGGGGAGGTTTGGGTTGAATATTCGGAAAAGGTTCTTCCCCCAGAGGGTGGTTTGGCACTGAAACAGGGCAGTGGTCACAGCCAGCGTTCAAGGAGCATTTGGACAACGCTCTCAGGCACATGGTGGGATTGTTGAGGTGTCCTGTGCAGGGCCAGGAGTTGGACTCGATGATCCTTGTGGGTCCCTTCCAACTCAGGATATTCTGTGATTCCGTGATTCCGTGCACTGACCAGCGGGTCATCAAATGATCTGGCTAAACCAAGCAACTAATCAAAGTCCAAAGTACATTCAAATCGATAAAACTGTACCGGCACAACCAAAAACCTGAAGATTGGGGATTGCGACCGTCAGGCCCTGCAGAGACAGAGTGACATGAACAGACTTAGGGCACAGCTGAGCAGGGCTTGTGAAGAACCTTTGGATGCCACAGATGCCACATGGCTCATGACTGGAGCAGGAATGTGACAGTATCAGCACAGGAGTTTTTAAGGGTCACCTAACCAAAGAAAAAAAAGCACGGGATTATTACCAACGTTGCCTCAGAAAGCAAAATTGCTGGTTACTGGAAACCTTTAATTACAGAGGCACAGATGAGTGACATAAAGATTAGGGTGATTGCCAATCCATATGCAGATGTGGTACAGAATGTTTCTTCTATGATGTATAAAGAAAAATAGATACATTTAGGAGATATGATAAGCAGGGAAGAGGAGTAAACAGAACAGAAGATGTAAATGTAATGGGGATATTGGGAAACACCAGGAACAAGATAAGTTCGGGGTGCAATGGAAACTCAACTCGAGGCAGAAAGAAACAACATTTTCAATGCAACAGAACAACAGAAAACCTGCACTGCCTCACTGCTTGACACAAAATGGGGAAAATTACGTGTAGATCAGTGCAAGAGTGGAACAAAAGGAAGAACCAGACACTGAGCACTGTGTACAGTTACAGACTTCGCATTCCCAACACCCAGGAGCTGGGAATCTCCTGGGTGAGAAAGCCAAAACAACTCTTCCTGATTTATGAACCTGCCAGAAAAGCTGAACAGAGTGAGTACCTGAGCAGGGTGCTGGAGCTGTTATTTTCAGTTTCACACTACAACAGGAGCAGTAACTTAACTCCAGCCTTGCCACACAGGCAGGTTTCCTCCCAAGTAGCCTAAATTCCAGACTGTCAGGACACCACGGTGTTGTCTGTACCTACAGGTTACTGATTTTTACTGGCTACAATTCCTTTGTGCTATTTTGACCACTGGCTGACCCCACATGCTGCAGTCCAGGTAAGGCCAACCAAGACAAAACACAGCTAATGATACACTACCTTAATTTCTCCATTTTCCAACCAAAATACTCTTTGTTGGCATGTCTTCTTAGCTGAGCATTCACCCATGAAACGTTTATGATTTATGAAAGACTATGCGGCTGCTTAGTTTTTGTATAGAAATTATCTTGATGGGTGCCCTATTAAAAAAAAAAACAATCTCAGCCCATTTTTGTGTTTCTGCTCCTGGCTGTTTCCATCACAAAAGTGGAATCATTTATATGGCCCAAAGATCCTATTCTTTTTAAACCAATTACCCATAGGTTAATGTACCATATGTGCCATTAAGATTTTTTTTTT